AGTGTGACACTGGCACAGTAAAAATCTTGGGATATTTTTGCCTCATCTTTGTGGCATGGGACACAAGAAGCACTTGGAGCACTCCCCTCTGTAGAATTAACATTGTATTCCATTTTTTCCTCAGGCATTCATCTACCCTTTGGAGTTTCAGCTCTGATTTTATTGTTGTATTTGCTGCAATGCTTAAAGGAAGACAATAAGATAAAACAAAATAGCAGAGGAGAGCAAACTGCTGATACTTCGGGTAAAATGTTGAATTGAGTGTGCCAAAAAATGCAGCAGGGCTGAACAACTTGTTCTTTGCCTTTTAGATTCCAAGTACCCACCAAGCTGAACACATGCCCTGCTTTTAGACATCTGTCCTCACCAGGAACTCTGCCCTTGAAAGACAAACAGGGATGGCTTGTGCAGGCAGGGTGGTGTTTTTCTGATTTGTTTAATCCCACGGAATTTGCACCACCTCCCATTTCCTTTTGTCCATGCAGCTCCAGACATCCCAAATGCTCTGGTGGCCCTGGAAGGAGCTGCAGGGCAGGAGCAGACAGTGGGCAAGGAGAGGACAGCTCAGCCTGGAGGAAATTCTGGTCTGCAGCACCCAGAGACAGCCTGGGGTGGAATTTGGGGCTCGTGGGAAGCACCAGCCCAACGTGGGGAAGGGATTTGCAGCCACAGGAGGGGCTGAGCTGGCACAGAAAATGCAGCAGGACAAGAGCTGGGAGAGCACAGCTCAGAGGTGTGTAATGCTGAGAGGAGGTGAGAGCCAAGGACTGGCTGGGAGCCCTGAGAACAGGTGAAGATGCTTTTTTGGGTGTCCTCGGGCTCAGGAAAATGGGGAGTTGTACATTTTATACAGAAAATTAAAGTGCATCAAAGGAACTCTGACTTCACCATCCACATCTTTTAATAGGAGCATTTTTAAACTGGCTCAGTGCTCAGGTTGTAAAAAGTAATTATAGAAACCTACAAGAAAAAAATAGACTTTGTGGAGAGTAGGAATGGGAAATATGTTATCACATAGTAAAAATAAAATAACCAGTATGAAAGAGAATCAGAAAAAAAAAAATTATTAGGATTTCACTCCGCAAGGCTGACTGGACCATTTCCTGCAGCTTGACTAATCATGAACCTTCTGGGCATTCCCAGTTTATTACTGTCCAAGCTTCTCTCATCCCTGTTTAGTTTAGCACATTTATTTTTTAGGCTGTTTTTACCAAAGCATTTGTTGTTGATGGCCTTCTTTCCTTACCTTCAAGGCTTTCAATTGCATAATGTAGTGTGTACCTGGCAATTCCAAACCAAATCTGTCTGGAATGATAGATTACAAATAAAAAAAATGAGTGATCTGGGATTTCTTAATAGCTTATTTCCACCATGCTTCCTGCCATGTGCCTCTGCATGTCCCATACATGTATCCAAACAGATCAAAGTGCCAATCAGCACAGTCAATAAATTCATTTTTCCTTCTGGTGTTGATAGCAAGGAAATCATCAGAAATGAAGATGAAAATGCTTTACTGAACTGCAAAAATTAAGTGGTGATGATTGAAATCTGCCTCACACAGACCAGGAGGTTTTGATTTTAATCAGCCAGGAAGGAAATGGTGAAACAAATGAACACAGTCTGTTATACTCAGACTATAGGTTCCCTGGGGAGAGTGTTCTGCTTCTCCAAGGTTAACAGCCTCACTGTGCCCTTTTTGGTGACCTGATCCCTGCTTTGTGAGTGCCTTCACAGAATCTCTGGGTTGGAAGAGACCTCCAAGATCATCGTGTCCAGCCCAGCCCCAACAGCTCAACTCAACCCTGGCTTGATGGTTTCTTCTCTGGTACAACTTCTCTGCTACAACTTCACTTCCATGACCCATGAATTGTAATAATTACAGATCTTTTAAACCCTGAAACTCCTGGGATCACAACAAATAATTAAATGAAAAAAATATTCTTTTATTTCTGTTCATTTAGTTAATATGTTAGTTGTTTGTTTTTTTTAAATCTGATATTGCTCAAATTTTTCTATTCAAACTTTTCTCATTGGTAGCGAGAGATTTAGACATAATGAGAAGTGAAGAGACAGCTAAATGAGACAGTTTTGGGCTCATCAGCCCTGGACCTGTCCTAGGATATTAAGCAAGACTTTGGGAACACTTTGCAGAATTTTCATGAAATGTCAGGCTCAAAGGAATCTGTAAGTAATTGGAAATTGATTTCATGACACTTTGATACTGAACTCACTGGTGGCAGCTGTTATTTTACATTTCAGAATGGATGGAAGGAATTCTTCCCAGGGAGGGTGGGCAGGCCCTGGCACAGGTTTTCCAGAGAAGCTGTGGCTCTCCCTGGATCCCTGGATGTGTCCCAGGTCAGGCTGGATGGGGATTTGAGCAACCCATGGCAGGGGTTGATTTAGATGGGTTTTTCTGTCCCTTCCAGCCTAAACCATTCTGTGATCTCCTTTTAAATCTCCTCACAGCAAAATGACTCAAACATCACCAGCACATTCTTGCTCCTGGATGCACTTTAAATAAAATCAGCAAGGCTCCCCAGAATTACCTCATATTTCCCTGGGATCCCAGAGCCAGAGCATTAAAATAACGAAATGAAAAATGATGAGAGCAGAACCAGCTTCCTGTTTGGGAAGAATAAATCAGTGTCTGTGCCTTTCTCTCGTGCCTGACCCAGCACCCAGGTGCAAGCAGCAGAGCCCCTGAGCCTGTTCCTGGAGCAGCTCCTAATTACATCTGCAAGAGGTGGGTGGGAGCTTTACCAGGAGCTGGTAACTGAAACCTCTGCCCACGGGACTGGAGCAATTTCCCATCCCAGCCTCGCTTTGTGGTGCTGGATTCTGGGGAGAGAGCTCCCTGAGTGCTGCGTGCTGTGACTGCTGCTCTGAGTGCTCCTGAGGGGCTGGGCTTGGGACAAGCCTGTGAGCCTGTCCTGCCCCCAGCCACAGCCACAGCAGTGCCCAGCTGCTCTCTGCTCCTGCCTTGGCCAGGGAAGCCTCTGGAGGGTGGGCAGCAGGGGCAAGGTGGGCAGTGAGGTGGTCACTAAGGGTCAGGTGGTCAGTAAGGCAGGTCCTCCAGGCTCTGTTTTCCCTCTGCTCTAGCTCCCTGCCTCATTTCCAGGAACACAGTGTTTTCTTACACATATCCTCAGCTGAAAATAATATATTATAATATATAATATATTAAAATTATATTATAATTATATGTTATAACATATTTATATATTATAAATTATATAATTTTTCTATATTATTTATTATATATTATAATATATATTATATATAGATCAACATACTATATTCCATAATAATATAATTATATATAATTATATCATATATTATTATAATAATTATAAATATATAATTATAAAATAATATATCCTTTGTGTTCAACCTTCCACTCCCTGACACGACAGGGGGTCTTTATAATGATAACGTGTTATAGGGTGTCTGGATTCATTTCTAGACCATCCTCAGTCCACAGAGAGCTTTCACGTTGTCAGTTCTCATCCCCTCCACAGCAAGCATTGCAGTTCTCTGGACCAGTTTGCAACGTGCACACAGAATGTTCTGTCTCCCTGTTCCAAAGCCCTGGCTGTGCTGCTGTTTCTGTGTAAACCACACCACCTCTCTCTGAACCTTTGAAAAAGCACAAAAAGCTCTTTGCTGTGTGTTGTTGAGTTTCCCTCCTGATGCTGGGGTGTGTTTATGGAGGGGTTTGTGGTGTCTGCTCTGCTCCCTGGGCTGGATCCCACTGACTGGATCTGCTGGTCCAGCCCTGTGAGCCCTGCTCTTCTTCTCCAAAATTCAAGATTTCCCGAGGGTGATCACCAAGCTGACCCCTCTTTGCAGTGCTCCACTGCCTTTTCCTGTCCCAGCTGTAGAAAATCCTCTGAGCCAGACCCTGCAACACATTTAAAATCTCCTGATTTCGTTCGTGCAATATTTTGATCACCCGTTTTGGGAGAGGCAAGGAGACCCCTAAGGGAGAGCCTGGAAACTCTCCAAGCTGCCGATTTCTCTTGCCTGGGTGCAGCACAGATGTTGAACAGAGCTGCTGTGACCTCTCTGCTGCCAAGTCCTGCCACTGCAGAGCCCTGCTGAGCTCTCATTCCTCCTTCCTGCAGCTGAACCCACCTGCCCCTGCAGCCAGCACACAGCAGAGGATTTATTGACTGCCTCTGCAATCAGGCAATTCCCTTAATTGGCTTCATTTCCAGGCTCTGTCATTCTCCCCCTGCACTGCTGGTGGCACAGCTATTTGTGTGCTGGTTGGGAAAAAAAAAACACTAAAGGTTGGACAACAAATCAATCAGAGGCAAGGACAGAGACCTCTCAGGGATAATTGCATCCAGATACCCAAATCCCTTGTCAGGTCTTCCCCTCCTGTGGCTTTGCTTTGAGGAGCCTCCATTAAGCAACAGGACATCCCCAAACAATGCCAGAGCCAGACAAAAAACTCCTTTCCTTTTCAGGAGTTACCTCCCCAGTGCTCTCTGGCCACACCAAACTCCAAAGCAAGATCTTTTTTAATTGTTAGGGCCAAAATGGTTGGGGTGGCTCAGCTTTTCCTCATTAAAGAGCACTTGGACATTGGTGGGGCTTTTTATTCAGTTGTGGGATTTGTTTTCCTTTTCTTTGGGTGTTCATCCCTGTGTCATTCCCCACAAGAAGCTTGGGGTCTGAGCTTGGCTATGTTCTAATTAAATGCAGTGGGAGTCAATAATTGTGAGTTGTTGTTGACACAGAGTTCTCAGATGAGAAAATCACACACTATTTTTAATAATAAATTTAAAATTTGCTAATAATGAATAATAATAAGTCTTAATAATAAATTTAATAAACTCATATATCCAGTAGAACATTATGTCTTATATACACATCCATACCCATACTTACTTGGTATCACAAATGCACTCAAAAATGTTTTATTTCTGTTTCAATATCTCTTTGACTAGTTAAAAAAAAATAGAACCTCCATAAGCAGGCTTTACAGTCTTTTTTAAGTAAGGTGGTTGTAGCACAGTTGTGATCCTACCAAAATACTGTGCTAGAGTATAGTACACATTCTGTAAAAAAACCTGACCTCAGGGGGTGAGCAGTCCTCTGGCAGTTTTGGGATACCATCCAGTATTTTCAGGTTTGGCAAATTGGAGAACACACTTAAAGAGAGACAAAAGAAAAAACAGAAATTGAGAAAAATAATCTTGGGAAATGCTGAGAACAAAACAGATACTGATAAAAAAAAAAAAACAGTGGATTCAAACATATCTAAAATAGATTTGAGTTGTTGGAAATCTTGATTTGTCATTTGTTGCAGAATTTATCTGATAAAGAGCTAATTAAAACTCTCAGATTTCACTCTATTGCACCACCTTTATATCCTCAGACCCAATAAAGCACTTCAGGAATCCATCTTCCTTGAGAACAAAACAGACACTGATAAAAAAAGAAACAGTGGATTCAAACATATCTAAAATAGATTTGAGTTGTTGGAAATCTTGATTTGTCATTTGTTGCAGAATTTATCTGATAAAGAGCTAATTAAAACTCTCAGATTTCACTCTATTGCACCACCTTTATATCCTCAGACCCAATAAAGCACTTCAGGAATCCATCTTCCAACACTGAGAATGAACATAACACCAGAGTTATACCAAATAGTACCAATATTTAATTGCCCTAAGAACTGGCAGATTGAGAGTAGAAACACAATTATGAATTGTTAAAAGGTGATTTATCTGCTTTTGTTCTCCTGGACTTGTAGATGTGCAAATAAAAGGTGAAATCCATCATTTAAAATGTACTTTTCCCCTTCCATGCTGATATCTGCCTCCCTGCCTTTATCAGCACCACGCTGCCAAGGGATGCCCACAAGACTAAAGGGAAATTTACTGCAAACTCAGAAATGTTTTCATTAAACTCTTCTTCAAACTTCTTTTCTTTTTTTCGAACGATGGGAGGAGATGTGTCCCATTTCAGACACATTCTGTGAGGTTTAGCTTCAAAATAACAACACCTGGCTGTGTTTGTAGTTGGGCAAAACATGCAACCATGCAGATTTTCTGAGTGAGGCTTAGAACAGATTATATTGTCCTGGATTTTCTTGGATTGTAATGCCTCGGATTAGAATTTGCATTTCCAGTGGCTGAGGCTGCTCTGTTAAATCTCCAGCCCATCCCAAAGCCTGCAGCACAACTTCCAGGGGCTGCTCAAGGCAGAGCAGCTCCCACAGCCCTGCCACAGGGGCAGGGGGAATCCAGAGAAATCAAATGAAGGGAACTTCATTTTCTCCTGCTTTTGCTCCCATCTTTCAAGACATCCTCCTGATTCCAGCCCTGACATGTAATGCAATTTAGGCTCCTTGCAGAACCCACCAAGGATGCAAGGAGACTGAAGAGAGTTTGAGTAATAGGTAATTTCTATTAATAAAGGGGAATCTAATTTATCTGCCCTGCTTACTGTCTCTAAACTTGATCCATGGGCTTAGTTCAGTTCCAGAACTGCCACTCATGCCATTAAAAAGCATCATAGGCAGTTTCTGAATATTTGGGAGCTTTTATCACATAATAGCTCACTAAGCCATGTCCCTGGAGCATTTCAGAGCATTAAAACCACATGAAAACAAAAACCTTCTTTATAAAGCTCATTGGGTTTGAGATCCCATTTGTCTGAAACTCTGACAAACATTTTTTTGTGTGTATCACTTTTGTTAGCCACGAGAGGGTCAGACTTACAGCTGTCTGTATCTTTCCTGGAACTCACAGGGATTCCTCTTGAGGATGAGGGATTCCAGTGGAGTGTGTCTGAAGTCTGAAATCCCACTTAGGGTTGTGATGTTATTTTCAGCGAGAGATAAGTGCTGAATCTGAGGGATCTTTGGCAGCTGTTTGAAGGACGTAAAGTGGTTTTTATTTACATTTAGCTCTCTGCATCTGTAAAGTACAAAGTGTATGGCATCACTATCACATCTGGGACAGAATCCCTACAACAGGGATGGGTTTTACACACATTTCATGTTTTTTATTACATTTTGTGCTGTTTTGCCTAGTCATGGACTGCCAGATAAGATCCCTGCACTTTATATTCCCTTATTTTTTTATATTGTACAACAGATGCATCATTATTTCTGTTCTCAATACTACAGCTCTCCATACACCGAAATACACAACAGCAGAGTAGCAACAGATGGATGGTAAAATAAATTTATAGTTGTCATGGTCGTGCTTGGCCTCTCTGCTTGGATTGTGTTCCCCCTCTCTTCCCAGAGATTCCTTCTGTGTGCAACAACTTCCCCTTTTGGCACAGATCTCCCTGAAGCTGGCTGGACTCATTAATTATTCCCCAGGAATAAAGGGGATGGGATGTGATCTCCTCACTGGGTATTTTCAGCCTGGGGATGACATGAGCTCAGAGCAGCAATAAACTGATGGATTCTCACTCCAGCACCCCCCAAGAGCAGATTTGGCAGCTCTCAAGAGCCTGCTCCAGCTGTCAATTCAGGAAAAATTTTGATTTCTGGGATATTACACAAAAATAGAAACAGATTACATGAAAATAGAAGCAGGGCATTTTGTCTACCTTGGCAACCTTATGGCACTGAGGTCTGTCAAAGAATTGTCCACCAACCAAAGCTTTTCCACCCGAATTAATCTGCGGAGGATTCTCTGGAAGTTTTCCACCTGGTAAAGATCACCCAGGTCCTGGAAGGAAAGGTTCAACTCCTGGGGAGGGGAAAAATAAGAGAAATCACTTTTTTTTTTTCTTGCTTTGTAATAGCTATATCATTAAATACAGAACTAGTCAGAGGTAGTTAAAATGAGAACACATTTTATGCTGCTGCTCTTATAACAATTGGTGGTACCAAGTGCCAAATCCACCTCAGAACCATAGTGATGGACTCCTTAATTATTTGAAAGGAAGAAGGGAACCATCTCTCCAGCATGAATTTGTGTCCATCTCCTCCTTCCTCTGTGAGTGGGGTTACCAATGTGGGGAGGGAGCAGGACTGAGTGGTTGTGGCTTATTGCTTTGGCCTCTAAACTCAGCTGGCACCAAAGTTCTGTGCAGCAGCCAGATATGAATATTCATGGAGTCCTCACAGAATGGTCTGGGTTGGCAGGGAATTCAAAATTCATCCAATTCCACCCCCTGCCACAGCCAGGGACACCTTCCTTATAACAGGTTTAAATCTATTAAATGCAGTGAGCAGCCAGCACATGATTATTTGGCTTCTTTACAGCTACAGTCCAAAGTGTTAATGAGAAAGTTTTACAGCACAGTTTTCCCAGTTCTCTTGCAGCCTCCTTTCCCATTTCTCTGTGCCAGTTACTTGTTTTCTTCTTTTCAGAGTATGTTCTTCTTTTCTGAAAAACAGCTCTTCTTCTGAGGGCCCTGGTCAGAGGAAAAGATTTACAGTTGAGGATGTGATACAGAACTGGCACTTAGTCACTTGCTGGAAGAATATATATATATTGATGGGAAGATTCTGTAATGAAGAAATATATATAATATTATAGGTGTGTAACTTTCCAGGCTCCTGAGATATAAATTAATGGGAAGATTTTTCTACCATTTCCAGACCCATCATTCAGCCAGCAATCTGCAGTGGGGATGATTTTGTGCATGGCTGGTAAATGACAGATCTGCTGCAGGTCAGAATGAAAACTGTTTCTGAACAGTTTTCAATTTTTCAATAAGGACCTGAGCTCTAAAATCCTTCTTATTCTTTGCCATGCTGTGAGTTAGCCTTTGATTGTCCTGAGAAAGGAAAATGTTTCAGCTTCCAGAGCAGTGACAAAAACCAGCAGCCCCACTCCAAACTTCATTTGTATTGAGGCAGAAACACACACTAAGCCTCAAAGTCTTAATGAAAAGTTTAGAGTTGTGGGCATCTTCAAATTCCTGATTAAAGCAAGGACTGGCTGGAAATTTTCCACTGTTTACTCCCAAACATGCAAATACTGGATTTTAAAACCCATCTGTTCTTGAGTGTGTCTGTAGATTGCAATTGAGCCAATTTAGTCTTAAAATACAAGAAATGTGCCACTGTTTACAGGAGTGGGTTTCCCTCTTGCTTGGCTGTTTGGCACATGGCTACTGCATTCTGAACAGTCAAATGTTAATCAGCTTCTGAGAGAAGTAATCAGCAGCACATTAATACTAAAAAATTTCAATTTGCAGTTCAGGCAGTGGTTTTTCATTTTGGAAATTACAAAGGATAATTTCCTAATTTAAAGAATAATTAAATTAGTTAAATTTTTAAAATTAAAATTAAAATTTAAACTTAAATTTAAATTTGTAATTAATAATTTTTTAAAAAATTAATTAATTTAAACATTAAGCAATTTTTCCTGATTAAAAAAATAAGCAAGTGTGGGCACTGTGAGATGAAATGCTGCCCCTTTTCAAAAGAATGGCAAACTGCAGGATTTCAGCTCATCACTTTTAAGGATGCACTCTTTGAGTCAACAGAGCTAGGGCTGAAATGTCAAAGTGTCTTTTTGATCTTTACCTTGCCTCACTCGGGGACAGAGGAGCTGATTTCCTCGAACACCGTGTTCCTCTATGTCACACCAGCTAAGGTACTTGAAGGAGTCAGAAGGAAGCTTAAAAAAAAAGGCAAAATAAAGATATAAAAGAATCAGTAAAAGCTCTGGAGGTTTTGGCACTGCATTTTCTCTTATTTCTGGCCTTATTGCAGCAGAAATCCCCCAGGGAGAGCCATATGCAGGAGCTGGTAAATGCTGTGGGAATTCACAGCTCAGGGGAGGTTGCCACAGCTCATCCCTAAATTGGCTCAAATATTGGAGAGAGCCTTCTCAGGGCTCACTGTCCCCCTGCCCAGAGCAGCAGTTTAGTGCTCAAAGGCTGAGGCAAATCCCCTGCCACAGCTCACCCCAAAAAGCAGAACCCTGTTTATATCCCACCCCAGCTCTGGAGGTTAAAAGGAGGGAAACAAAATCCTCTTCAAAGCTGAGGAGGAGATTTTCCTTAGCTCCTCTTCGTCTCTTTTCTACAAACCTGCAATCAGACTGGGAAACCCAACACTTACTGGGAAAGGTAGCCTGGGCTCCCAGTTCTGCCCGAGGGCTCCTCTGTTTTGGGGTAAAACCAGGGGAATGTGGTGGGCATCCCTCAGGACGGAGCAGCAGGAGGAATAGGATTTCAAGAACTTCTGATTGCTTGTAGTCAGACCTGAGGAACTAGAGAGGAGGTGTTGAGCCAGTGTGGATTCTGTCCAGAGAAATGCAGATTTTGTTGGGTTTGTTTTATAATTACAGAAAATAATTACAGAAAATACAGAATAGCTGGGGGTAGGACTTGCCAGCAGGCAACAACCACATCCTGAGGCCAGACCATGGGCAGCCCCCTCAGCTGAGCTGCATTTCCTTACACACAGGAGCCATTCACAGGTGTGTCCAAACATCAGGAAGAGGAATTTCCTGGTATTTTGTTAGAAAAACTGAGTTTTGGAAAAAAATGGAGAGCTGAACTTGTTCAACAGCATGATGTGTTTGTTCCCTTCTGCCCAGGAGAGCCCTGCTTTTATGGGTCTGGGTTGGATGAAAAGACACCTCAGTTGTTTATTTCATTCCATTGTACATGTGGTTTAACTCATTGTTTTACTAATATTGGTATATTTATTTTAGTCTCTTGGATATGTTCTAGGGGATTCTCAGAGATCTGGAGAAAGGCTGAATTTTGTTTCAATAGAGTCTTCAAATCATAGAATCACTTTGGGAAAGCTCTCCAAGGTTACCAAGTCCAACCTCCAGCTTGAAGCCGTGTGTTCATGTACTCTCTTAGTCCCTTGCCTAAGAACACTTCCAAAAGTCACATTTTATACACCCCAAACGGGGCAATTTCTCCAATTGTGCTTCGGAGGGATTGAAGAATGTGCAGGCTGGCAGCTGCAATTTAGGAATTTACCACAGAACACTTGAAAACAATGATTTAATTTGGGCAGGGTGTGCATCCAGCACTGTAATTTGATGTTTATTCTACAGGCTCGAGGAGCTCTTGCCAGGGAGCCTCAGCATCATAAAACCACTGCAGTCAGGAGCAGAAATAAATAAATAAAATAGAATAAAACAGAATAAAAGTGCAGCTTTAAAATGGTTTGGGGAGGGAGGCAAGGAAGGTCTCATACTGGGAGTAACAGAGAGGCTAAACAGAGCATCGGTTAAAATGGGCAATGACAGATTATTGGCAAACCCTGATGAGGAGAGCTGTCCTGGTGACCTCAGCGCAGGAGCAGCCCTGACAAACAGCTCTCCTCCCTCCTGCTTTCTGCTGGGGTTTTCCTGGGGTCACAGCAGCCCCAGTGAACTGCAGGTGACTCCCAGGAAGCTGTGTGAGCCCAGCATTTTGGAAAATAACAGCTATTTACTGAGAGACCTTCTGAGGTCACCTCGAGGCAAGCAGCCCCTTGGGGGGTGTGTGTTGGAGAGCAGCAGGAGCTCACACACAGCAGCCCTGGGAAGGAAAGATTTACTTTGGCTAAATGGTAAAAAAAAAAAAAAAACCAAAAAAAACAGAAAATAAAAAAGTGCTGGGAATTCTTGTTTAGCTCTATCTTGCTGTTTGATCTGCTTTTTCCTCCTTGTATGTTAAATGAGATCAGAGCAAAGGAAATTTGTAGAGATTCTTTTGTGTTTAAGAAAAATATCTGTTATTTTGCTCAGTTTGGAAGTGATCTTTTAGGATGAATTCAAATGACTATTTATAACTGCAAGACTTTTCAAAACCTACCTTCTTCTGAGCTAGATACTACCTCCTCTGCTGAGACAGGAATATACACTCTCAGTGCCTGGAAATGTGGGCTAAAACGTTTTAGCTGAACCATTTAACATGATATCTTCTCTGATCTCCTGGCAGGAAACCCACTCACAAAACTCTGCACTGGTGATGGCAAGTAAAACATAAAGTTCCAGAAAAAAAAAATAAATATGTGATGGATACAACTTCCCCAGTCAGGTGGGTAGTGAGATTTCCATGGGAAGGAGTGACAGAAAGAAACATCTTTCATCTCAAAACTGCCTGGGTTTAATAAGCACCAGCTGGACCCCCACATTGTGCCACAGAAGATTTTTCTGGAGGACCAAGTGCCACGCAGCTTTCCTCTCCCTTGCTTTGTTTACCTTCCTATTTTGCTGCAGAATTGATGCAAAAGGAGTGGCAATGAAGGAGGCAGGATGCAATTCCAAGCAATTACAGATCTCACAATGCATGAAAGGAACAAAATTTCCTGCCTTGATTGTGAGGCCCTTCGGCTGGATATGAATCTCCAATGACACCTCTGGGAGCAGCACACTAGATTATGTCAAGCATTAAGGGAAAAAAAATTAGATTCATGATGTCTGTCCAGGCTGAGTCATTTCCTCTCACTTCGCCTGCAGTGAGAAATTGGTGGTTATCATAAATCATGGACCTAAATTCTTATGAGAGAAGAATTAATTTCACTAATGGAAACCCTCTGTGGCAATTGCATTCCTCCATTCCCCCTCTTTTTGGGGGGTGCAGGGGAGTATTTATGATGTCTTTTAAGCAGAGGTATTTGACTATATTTTAAGAATTCTGTAATAGAGGTTTGGAAAGGAAACTTCAAAAGGTAATGGGGGAAAAAAATCTTGTGTGTGACCAGCTCCTAATTTCTGAGGCTGGCCCTCAGGCCAGTTCTTATCGTGGCTACAGCTTTGCTGCTGACACCAAATCCAGGTACAAAATTTATTTTTCATCTCAGCAATAAACAAACCCCCACAAAACTGTACCAAACAATTCTTTGCAGGCACCTTGAAGTCTGGGGCGCTCCGTGTGAGCTGACAAGAGGGAGCACAGGCTGGGGGGTAACTGGAAGCACTCATGGCTAACCCCTTATATTTTACATTATTCTCCTCAGTGGAAGTCCCAGCGAGGAATTCAGTGCCTGAAGTGTTTTGCAAACTGTCAGGAATGAGAACAGAACAGCTCCTGCCTTTTCCAGAACACCACTGAGGAGATATCGGGCTGCAGCCTGGAAAATGCTGCACTGCTGAGCTCCCTGATCAAAGTCCCTCCTCATCAGGATGTCAGTGTCAGCTGTGGGGCTGGGAAATGTTCTCCTCTCAGACACCTTGGCCAGGTTTCCAGAGAGGCCAGGATGCTCCAGGTTTCCTGACTGCAGTGCAAGGACCTCTGAGTCCCGCCGCCTTTCAGTGCAGGACACATTAAAGCCCACAAAAAGACTTTGAAGAGCTAAAGCTGAGCTGCTTCTGAAACTGCACCAGTGAAAGATATTGAGTGAGAAACAGAGTGAAAAGTCCCTCCTGTGTGTATTTTAGCTGTTTGGCTGTTAAAAAGGAGTGTCAGTCAAATCCTTTCTCCAGATGAAACAGCAGCCTCGAAAAACAAACATCTGAGACTGCAGCACAGGCTCAGCCCTGCTGCACAGAAAATGGGGAGCTCAGCTCAAGAGGAGTAAGGATAAAGGGGGTTATGAGCAAACTCTTGCATTTGGGATTTGAAAGGCTTTTTGTCCCAGCTTTTGAGCAGTTTTGGGGTCTGATCTAGCTTCTCACAGCCTTATCCCAGCTGCTCTTCAGGAATCGGCATTCTCCAGCAGGCTTAGCTTTCACTGAGCCACAGCTGCTTTCCCCTTAAATCTGAAATGGATAAAAGGTTTGGAACAAGTGGTAGGGTTATTTATAACTCTTCACATATCTAGAGTCAGAATTCCCGTGGTGCTTGCTACATCCCACCAAATCACAGCCCACCTCTGATGGAAAGGGCCCTGCTCCTGCAGTTGAGCTCAGGGAGCTCTGGTCAGGTTCTTATTTAGCAGCAAAATTATCTCAGTTCATTCAGTCCTGATGCTGTGGAACTGAAAAATGTGCACCATTCTAAAGGAAGGAACCAAATCAAACGGGTTTCAAGATCATCTTGAAGGAATAGAAAAAAATAAATCCAAACTAGAGAAACTAAGAAAAGAGCAATAAATCCTCCCAAAGCAAAGAGTTTGTATCACTGTGTGAGAGCTGCTGATTTTGTAGGCTCTAAGAGAGATTCTGGACCTGCCCAAACCACCTGCACACATAAGTGCTTGCTCCCAGGTTCCAAACACCCAATTATTTATGTTGTCCCAGTCAATGGAAATGCCAAACCATAAATGAACTGCAGGGGTAACTTACCAACACAATTTGTGAAAGTATTTAAGAGATGGCAAACTCAGAATTCAGGCTGTGCTTCATTTCAAATGCACACAATTTACTGCTCCACAGCAGCTCTGCTTGTATGCAAACATTTATTATGAGAACTCTCTGAACTTAGGAGAGTAGAAGATATGGACATAGTGTTTGCATGCTCTATTACCTTTCAATTATTTTTATAGGAGTTTTAGGAGACATTATGCAACACTTTGAAGCAGTTCTTCTGAGCGTAATTTAGTGACAAACACACCTGTAAGTTATGGCTACAAAGCATCCTTGCTGATAGCTGTAGCATCAATTATCTTGCTTTATGCTTCATAAAATTGCCCCCCCCCAAGACATAATTAACTTAATTAGGTCCTATCACCATAATGATACACTCTTAGCATATTAACTAGCATTTTTCTCGTGGATCCAGCCTGCACCAACACAAAGCCCACATCTCAATCCACGTGCCTTCCACACATTCTCACAACAAACTCAACATTTTTGTTGGGACAGCTTTTTCCTCCAGCAATCAGGCACTGACACCAAGAAAAACAGCTCTGTTTGAACTCCTGCTTTCCCTGCACAGCAATCTCCTTTAGCAATACAGGCTGGTACATTTTAAAAAGACACCCAATCCTGTAACTCTATCTTTGTTGTCAAAGCATGTCAAGCAATGACTACAGGTTCGTGTCTCCTTGCACCCTCCTACCTTTCAGACATGTCTGGCTGCTGCATAAAATCCTCACATCTTGCACAGGGCTATTTGTCTACAGGCAGAGCTTATCTTCCCATCTCTGGCCCTGCACAGGGAGGGAGTTCCAGGGCCTCTGGAGAGGGGGAACCTGCCGGGATGCTGATCCTGGCGGGGCTGGATGCATTCGCTGTCTCCAAGGAGACGCTGTCACCTCGCAACGCTGCTGTCACGTTAGGAGCTATTGTTACCAACCTCCTAAGCACATCAAACAAATTCCTGGCCTCACCGAGCTGGTATCAGTGAACTGTCCTTCCAGAAGGTGCCTAAAGATAGGCTGGTGATAGCTGTGGCAAGATACGTGATCATCCAGCTGAATCGCTGCTCTGCTCGCTCCGGCCGCTTCACTCTCACCAATTGCTTTCACAGTTTTGCCCACTTGAAGTTCGTGTTTTTGTTGCCTAAAAGATCTCCTGCCTCATTAATGGCTTGTTAAAGGCCTTATTAATGTATCTGTTGGATGAAAAGGAGATGCTTAAAGAGGCTCAGGTTTTATGTAACGTTCAGGAAAATTCTTTATGGGCACCTCTTCACTCTGTTGGGCATCCTTGCCTCATTTGAACATGCTCAGCCATTTTAGGAACATCTTCCAGGCTTCCTTCTTCGAGTTTGCAGCTGAGAATGAAAGCAAGAGATTCTTCCCTTGGTGGGAACCAACAGGCCAGGTTTGTGTCTGTTTTTATATTATATTTTTCTTAAAACATTAAAGCTATAGGTTCTGAGAATCAGCCCAGTGAGTTATTCCCTTCAAAATGAGTTTGATTTTTGTTTGTTCACCCAGACGAAGTACAGACGCTGGCAGGGTTCCAGGGTGGGATTGCAGCAGCCCAGTGTGGTTGTGGGCACTGCTTAGTCCCTGCTGAAGTTCCCAGATGGCTTTTAAACTGCACCAGTGGTGATGGGACCCAGGTTTTGGGAAAAGATTACAGCGGAGCTGTAAATTGTGCCCTATCCATCTGTGACTCCCACGCCACAGGCACAGCCCCTTCCTCACTGGAGCTCCTGGGCTCTGTGCTGAAAAAAGAGGGGGTAAATAGATTAAAATCAATGTGGAAAAAGTGCACAATTCCCTCTGCCTGGGGATATTCAATTGGAATATAGTCATATAGTCAAAACCTCTGTGGTTTAGACTTCCACCTTGCAGCTTCTTCACAGAAAAAAACATTCCTTATCCTCCTTTTCCTTCACATTTCTCTTTTCTTTTTTAGGTCACTACAAAGGCAGATCATTATAAGGTCTTTCTGTATAGAAAGGTCTGTGCTTTCCCCAATGGTTGCTGAAGGCTCCAAAACCTTCTCTTAGAAAATCTGCTGGCAAATTTCACCGTGCCAGCAAAGCAGAGGGGAACAATGGTAATTAGAGAATTTCAGCTCCATGCACAGGCATTCCGTGGTTCCAAATGTTGAATTGACACATCGTTATGTGAAATTTAACAAAGTAGTCATTCCACCCAGGTTTCATTAAAACTTTATGTGCTAAGAACTGAGTTTATTACGGGGAGCGCAAGGACAGGGTATTAAGAGATTCATCAGGTCACTTGAGCGAATCATTTCTCTGTCTGCTAAGAATAAAGAAATTAATATCTAAATCAAACAAGGTTGTAATTTGGGGCCTTTCTACTTACCATTTTTTCCTCTGTCTATAAAATGAAAGGTATTGCTCCCCATCACAGCCTAATGGGCTTCAGATCTTTTATGGCAAATGCATTCCTCATAAAGCCCATGAAAAATTATCTCTGTGCTATTTCAGAGGAATGACATATTTTACATGGTGTCGGCCTTTCCATTATAAACACTATTTTTCAGATCTTTACAACCTGCCCATAAAAATGTGCTTCTGACAAGAAATTCAGCAGTGTGTCCCCTGCTGAATTTCTTGGTTTTTATTTCTTTCTTATTTTTTTTTTTTTTTATTTATTTCTTCTTTTTTTCCAACTTTATCTAATTTTGGCCAGTAATTTTGTCTTTGAATTGGGTAAACACAGGGTGGGCATCGGTCTCAACCCTGTGCCTCTCACATCTTTTTTTTTGTCCCATTGGATTCTTCTCTGCATGTCCATGAAATTTGTAGGAACTGGGCAGAATCCAGCTCATCCTGAGGTCTGATTAATGACAGAAACAATCCCAATTATTCTCACTGCTGTAGGCCACCAGAGGCCCCGTTGTTCTGGGCACCACAGAAAGTCAGGAAAACAGAGTTTGCTCCAGAGGGTTTGTGCTCTAATTGAACAGAGCAGACAGACAAAGAGTAGGAAGAAAGGAAATAATATTATCCCTCCTCCTTTTATACAGAAATAACTGAGATGCTCAGACCATGAAATCCTGGCACTGTGGGAGCAGAAATTCTGTTCCTGTGCCCAGGGTCAGCATTCACACAGGATTCCCAGCCACTGACTTTGTTAAGACCAGACTGGATGAACAGTCTGGCTTTAAAGTCTGCAATTACTGGCTGAGTTTCTGAGCTGACACTTTCTAATCATTGTTAAAGAATACTTGAAAGAAATTTCTCTTTTATAACATTTTTCTGATTCAGGGATAAATCAGTTTGTTGACATAATTTTATGTTTTTTATGTAAAATCCTTTTTTTTTTTTTTTGGTGTTAACTTGATACAAATTGGTGATATCAAACCAATCAGGTCGATGCCACCAGTAAAATCAGACCTAAACACATAACAGCACCAGCAGAAAGCTAACTTTTATTGATCTTACCTGGTTTGAACATTTCCAGGAATCCAGGGCATTCATGTTGGATGAGTCAATTAAAAAGAGAGAATTTCTTGGGGTATTTCAGTGGTGTGATGTGCACAGCCCTGGAAGGGGAGCTCGCTTTTGATGCACAAATGCTGATCTGTGCCTCGGCAGGCAAGCAGGCACTCTCACTCAAACCAACAGGTTGTTTTGCTGAGTTACCCAGGCAACACTTCCCTTTCTGTCCTGCCCATTCAGGATTCCAGGAAAGTGTCTGATTCCCACTTGGAGAGCATTCCCAGGGAAAAGCCAAGGACAACAGAGTAAAGCCTTGGGCAGGAGGAGAGCAGAGTTAGTGAAACTTTTCATCGGGGTCACCAGACAAAAAGGAACCAACAACAAGCTGCATAAATAATTGAAGTGAAAACTGTATATGCCTGCTTTTCTGAGGTGTTACAAACCCATGGATTCCAAGAGGCTTGGAGGGGCTGTAACCAAGCAACAAGGACTGGAAATTTGGTTCTCTCTTCTGGAAAAACAACAGGCTTGCAAGTCATAATGACAATGCCTGGCACCGAAGAGTGAGCCCTTCCTTGATTTAATAGTCTTTGGATGAAGCTATAAGAAAAGATGATTATGGAATGAAGAAAGCATTTTTATTTGGTTTAGGAGAGGCCCATTCCAGTATCAAATCTGCCTTTTCCTAAACAAAATGGAGGTCAGCAATTTCTGGATGAATCTGACACTGAGGAAAAACTGCAAATAAGTAATTTCCCAAGATTTTCTTTCTCAAAACTTTCTTTTCAAAAGAAATAATGGACATAATTTGCCTGCATGAAAGAGAAAACATGACAGTATCCCAAGTGGAGTTGGTGGCACACAACACTCCTGGCTGATGATTCCCCCCATTATTTACCTCACTGAAATGAGGTCTCTTTTCCCTCTTACCTTAAAACATGGCTTTTGTATTGGATGAGGTCACCGCATCCCTAACCCACAGATGCACATAAGATCCTGATTAACCCTGTAGCCTTAGGAGCAAAGCCACAGAATTCAGCTGGAGCAGAACCAAACCCGTGTGTGAATGTGGAAAACCCCAAAGGGACGTGCCAGGGACCTGCCAGCCCTCCCAGAGGGAATGAACCTCACACAGATCATGGTCTGGGGCTCCCTGGAGCCCAGGGACAAGCTGCCACCCATTTTAATGAGCTCCCTGTCACTCTCCACTTCCCCAGCTGCCATTCCTGTCCAACCCTCAAAATTTACAACATCTTCCCCGAAGCTGCCAGCAGAAACAAACCGGGGGATGAAACCTCCAGCGTGAGGTCAGTCCCATTTCCTCCACCCACATCTTCATCATGGGTCTCATGCTTCATCTTTCCACGAGTTAATTGTTAATAATTCCCCACGGAGTACAAGATTCATTAAGTACTTCCTAATTTATCAAGCATAGGTCTCATCAGGTAATTTTAATCATATGAAAATCATTCTAAATTCATTTTGATAGACAATTTCCTGTTGCAGCCTAGTAAGCCTCCTTTTCCCCTGTGTCATGGGAAGCAGCATCTCTGGTTATTCTCCTCTAACTTCCACCATTGCACTTCCATCATTTTCTTGTATTTATTTGAAACTGCTGCCAGCTGCTAAAGAGTTATGTTTCCTTTTTTCTTTTTTTTTAGAATTGATTACCTGAAATATATTGAAAAAAATTGGTTTATTTCATCCATCAAACCCCTGCCTTCCTGAAAATCAGGATACTTGGGAGTCACCAGAGCACTTCTTTATTAAAGTGGCTTTGCCAGGTTATCATATATGAGATATTTGAGACAAATAGACATAATCTCTTCAAGGATGGGATGAGAAAATAATTGTATTGCTGGGCCAAGGTGGTAAAAATTACTCAGCTCTACAGGAGCTTAGAAAGGAGGGAAAGGACAGGAAAACATGGAAAAACAAGGCAGTTGGATGACAAACACAGCTCAGTTGTTTAAAATTCAGAGCTCCTTGTCCCCATTCCAGTCAAAGAAGGAGCTGAGAACTCTGAACATGTATTTACAGGCAGAACTTGTTCCTGACATCTCCCATTTTTTTTTATCCCTATTATTTCCCCCAGTCTTATTGCCAAAAGAAATTAAGTTCAAATGAATGCCTGGTTACTCAGTGTCTGCAAGGATAACAAAGATGTTCTCCAGCTGAAAGCAGCAAGCAGGGCCCCCTGTGATCGTGGGGAAAAGAGGAGAGGACCACGACGAGAAGAATCGAGTGTTTTTATTAAAGGTGTTGTGTTCATGCAGCTTTTGTCGGGAAATCCAAATAATTGACTCCCACTTGCTTTCATTTGGAGCAAATAGCAGCGTAGTGTTACATAAAAAAAGAATGAGCCCTGCTTCTCTCCAGTGCTTCTTTTCTGGGCAGGAGACAGACACGCTGTCCACAATCCCTGCATTCAAAGTTAGGAGCTGGCACAGCCTGCCAGGAGAAATTAAATGTAATGAAAATGTGTTCCTGCTCAAAGGCAGGGGCTGCATTTGCTGTGTCTCATCCTGGTATCCCGAGGGCTACACCACCTTCTCCTCACAGCAGTGCCGGGGCAGCTGAGCCATTCCTGGATGGTTTCACACCCATTTGTCCTGCAGTGAGGGGCTGTGCCTGCTGAGCAGGGCATTTCTCAGCTGCAGGCATTTCCCCTCCACTGGAAATCTCTATTTTAAATCAGTGGAGAAGGGATTCTGGACTTGGATACATTCAAAAGCCAAGGAGACCTTGAAGCATCTTCCCCTGGATGGTTTCCCTGGCACACCACGGGCTTTGCACAGCAGTGCTGGCACTGCAGAGCTGCTGCTGGGGCTTTCCAGAGCCCAGCCTGGGACCCTGAGCAGGGCAGGGCTCCCTCCCTGTGCTCCAGGATTTCCTGGGTTTCAATCAGAGCCCAGGGAAGGCAAACCCCGGGCTGGAAGTGGAGTGACTTCAGCCAGTGCCTCACTCTGCTTCAGCTCTTTGCAGCCCAAAATCCCCTCTGCAGACAAAGCCCTGTTTTCCAGAGGTCGTTCCCCACATCACATTTTTGCTTGAGCAGAGATGAGGCGACAGGAGAAGCAGCTTTTGATGGAAAATAAAAAGGATTAAACCCCATAGACCTCACATCCCTCCTGATCTTTGGACTCCAAAGGGGCTCCAAGCCCACTGCTGGCCTGGAGGGGCTGTGAAGGGGCTGTTAAACTGCTTTGTGCCACAGTGTTCCCCAGCCACAGCCTGCCAGGTCCCTGAACCAGTCTCAACCATCTTTCAGCTGGTGGAGAAAGGATTCTGGACTTGGATACATTCAAAAGCCAAGGAGACCTTGAAGCATCTTCCCCTGGATGGTTTCCCTGGCACACCACGGGCTTTGCACAGCAGTGCTGGCACTGCAGAGCTGCTGCTGGGGCTTTCCAGAGCCCAGCCTGGAGCCCTCCCTGTGCTCCAGGATTTCCTGGGTTTCAATCAGAGCCCAGGGAAGGCAAACCCCGGGCTGGAAGTGGAGTGACTTCAGCCAGTGCCTCACTCTGCTTCAGCTCTTTGCAGCCCAAAATCCCCTCTGCAGACAAAGCCCTGTTTTCCAGAGGTCGTTCCCCACATCACATTTTTGCTTGAGCAGAGATGAGGCGACAGGAGAAGCAGCTTTTGATGGAAAATAAAAAGGATTAAACCCCATAGACCTCACATCCCTCCTGATCTTTGGACTCCAAAGGGGCTCCAAGCCCACTGCTGGCCTGGAGGGGCTGTGAAGGGGCTGTTAAACTGCTTTGTGCCACAGTGTTCCCCAGCCACAGCCTGCCAGGTCCCTGAACCAGTCTCAACCATCTTTCAGCTGCTTCACTTTGCTGCCAGCTCCATGCTGTATTCCCAGTCGGGAAATTAGAATTCTCTTTTTGCCTCACACTGGGGGAAGAAGAGAGCCCTCTCTTCATTTATTAAATGACTGAGTGACCAGGTGTTCTTTTCTTGATTAGGGCAGTTTAATATTTCTGCTGATACCTGTACTTCAAAATCTCCTTTCAGCCCTCATATTTTTTGCAGTTGAGTTGTGAAAGATCAGCAGCTGAGCTTCAGTCAGTATTTCTCCTCATTTTTCATGCTGCCTTCGCTGTTTCGGAGAGCTGCTGAATACAAAATGAAGCTGCAAGAGCGTGTTTGCTCCACAGCCAGCAAGGCATGAAGCCCTTTTTTCTCCAGCTGTGGAGTACAGCCAGAGCATTGCTAACAGAGTCACTGGGGATGTGACTCAAAGGGTGACATTTCCTACTCTGCTCGGTGACACCAGATGATGAATGCTCACAGCAAAACACGGGGCTGGTTTAAATAAACAAAATTAAATCTATTTCTGTGATTATAGGAATCGTGTTACGTCTCTGAGGGAGCATCAGCTGCTGCTCCCAAGTGCTGCAGATTTGTCAGCTTGTTTAGAGATGCTCTGGTTGTTCACTGGATTCTCCTGCTGCAATAAATCCATTGGCACTTTGGCCCGAGCAGGCCATGGAAGATTTGGCCATGGGAGATTTGGCCATGGGTGGTTTGGCCAGCAGGTTGATGTTCTGCCCATCAGCCTTAATCTTGTTTTACACTCAGCAATTTACAGCATCATATTGTTCCCATTTTCAGCATTAGAGAGACAACTCCCTGCATGAGAGCAGGGAGGTTAGCCCAGAGCCAGAGCTGAGGAGATTCTCCCATTCCTGGATTCTCCCACTCCTGGATTCTCCCACTCTTGGATTCTCCCATTCCTGGGTTCTCCCATTCCTGGATTCTCCCACTCCTGGATTCTCCCACTCTTGGATTCTCCCATTCCTGGGTTCTCCCATCTCTGGATTCTCCCACTCCTCCTTAATCTTGTTTTACACTCAGCAATTTACAGCATCATATTGTTCCCATTTTCAGCATTAGAGAGACAACTCCCTGCATGAGAGCAGGGAGCTTAGCCCAGAGCCAGAGCTGAGGGGATTCTCTCATTCCTGGATTCTCCCACTCCTGGGTTCTCCCACTCTTGGATTCTCCCATTCCTGGGTTCTCCTACCCCTGGA